GTCTACTAGTTAGCTGCTGACAAGCAGTTAGCTGGTATTTACAGACTGTACTAAGACCATATACAATGATTCTTAGTTTTATTTAAGACCACACTGAAAGTTCAATTGTGATTCTTGGACAAATGCTACTTGTGTTGATCAATAAAAGAGCATTGCTACTGAAAAGCTGTTTGGTTCAGGAAACAGTAGCATTACCACCCCACTACTGAGAAATATAACTAAAGTAGGAACTTAATCGTAACACAGCTGCCCAACACTGTCCTTGTACACACTGCTAAAAAGGAATACAGCTATAAGCAGCTCAGACCACCTCCACATGTGGTCTTGGTAACTGGGTTCTAATGCATGCTTCATGTCTATTTGGTGCTTTCACAACTGTACTCAGAGCTGCTGTCCACTTGGACACATGGATCGGATCACCCAAGACACATGTTAATGCAGGGTGTGAACAAGGGCTGGTAATGTTGCACAACCTCTTATAAGGTGATGTAATACAAAGCAGTCATGTCGTCAACATCGCTTTTCCCCTAAACGTGACCAATCGTGTGTTATAACTCAACCAAACCCAAATCAGCCAGGATATAATCATGTGTATAAGTCTTGCAATATTTAAATGCAAGTTCAGCAGTTTTTGTGTCACCCAGTGATAGCAGCTCTGTTCAGAGAGCAGCATACTTTAATGTTTGGTTGGGACTCGTTCGTTTTTTTAGCACAAAACAAAAGAAATGTAAAAAATGAAACTACAAGAAATATTCCAGCTGGTAGGTAAACAAAAGGGATAAAAATGGCGAAAACAATAACTTGCTAACTGCTACATGTCATTCCTGCTGAAACACTCCCAGTCATTCAATGCCAAGGAGTACACAGAAATGTCATGATGGACGCTATGAGGATTTGAGATTAAAACAATTAAGACAATTGAGGAAAATGCAGCCGGAATTTCATTGTGATTTGCACTTTGGTTCATTCAGTGCTGATTTAATCTTTCCGATTGCAGTTCAGGGACTTTTTAGACTATTTGAATGATTCCACATACGTGTTTTTTAACACCTGTGGCCCATCCTTTGCATGTATTATTAATGTGCACAGCCTTCAGTGCTATAACTATCAACAGTGTGATTATTATTGACCCCTTGGTGCTACTGCATACAATTGCCCTTACAGAGATAAATGGATGCTGAGGAATTTGGCTTGTTGTGATTTTTTCACAAGCATCAACCTTCAGCATCTTTGTAAGAAAGTCCACAAAACTCGCTGAGTCACATTCCTCAGCACTGACAGATTCTCCTGAGAGTTTACCAGGCATCTTCTGAGGGATCCAAATAAAACTAAATGGTAAGAACATTGTCTTGTTATGTGTGAGGAACAGATAACTTTTCTCACTTCAAGTGGTAATTGTAAAGAAGAAATGTTTGAGGCATCTAATTTGTTCCAAATGCAGCAAATGCCACAGTGGAAAGAATGGAAACATTGAAGAAAAGACAGAAATTTACCACAAATCTTCAGAGGTGCAGTTGCAATCCTACGTGCTTTGCACAGAAAACTGCTTTCCAATACTGAACTTGTACAAGATAGGTTCTTCTGGAGGCACAAGTGTTGTATTCAAGGTCCTTTCAGGCAATTTTTGCACTACAGAGTTAAGCTACCTTCAAGTTAGAGGCCCTGATCTTTGGTGATCAGGCCACATTTCTTCTATATTATTAAACATATTAATAGATTACATATCTCTAGCTGGGCTGCAAGGTGGCTCAGTGGTTAGCACTGTTGCCTCGCAGCCAGAAGATCCCCGGTGGATCTGCATGGAGTTTGCATGTTCTCCCCGTGCAGCGTGGGTTCTCTCGAGGTTCTCCAGCTTCCTCCCACACAGTCCAAAAACATGTTGAGGTTAACTGGTGATTCTAAATTGTCCGTAGGTGTGAATGTGAGTGTGCTTGGTTGTCTGTCTCTAAGTGTAGCCCTGTGATAGACTGGCGACCGGTCCAGGGTGTCCCCTGCCTTCACCATAAGTCAGCTGGGATAGACTCCTGCCCCCCGCAACCCTAGTGAGGATTAAGCGGTGTGTAGATATGGATGGATGGATGGTCAGATGTGTGACTGAGAAATTAAGATGTTAGTGTTCAAGATTTCTTTAGTTTGATATCTTCTCTTACACAGCTGCTCCTGATATGAAGAGACTTACCTGTACTGCTGGCTCTGAATGGTTGCACATTGTCATTTACATAACTCACCCATTTAAAATTTAAAACGTGGCCACTTTGAGACGCAGGTGAGTGCTGTCATGGGACGGTTCATATTCTAGAGACCTTTGAAGAGTTAATTTGCAAAAGCAGATAACTCCATTTTTGTAGATTTGTAGATAAGAAACTTATTTTATTGTTGTCTGCTTGAGATAATATCCATCAAAATGAAGTTGAGTGGATTTGACTCAGTAGAAATGACATGAGAAAAATAGAGATAACTTAAGTTTGATTGATGTTGTGTCAGGTAGACGATGAAAAAGTGAGTTTTCTGAAGGTTTGTGAAGATGGAGTTATCTGTTTTTGCAAATTAACTCTTCATTTGTTCACTTTGGGATTAACCAGGATTTAGGCAAAATCGTAAGATTCTAAAAAGCCAAGATGGTGACGGTCACTGTCACCACACTGAGCTTCAAAACTGCTCTTCAGAAAACTTCACGGGGACATGACGGAGGGTTCGGTGTGTGGATTGATCATTGTCGCTTACTTTTACTCTCAGCTGCTGCCACTATAAATGATCCACTGTCATGGTGTCTTCAGGCTTCAGAAAGAGGAGTGTAGGGATTGTAATCAGCTGAAATCATGAATTAGAATCATTATACCCATACTGCAAGAATTCATAAAAAATGTTATACTCCTCTGAGAGTTTCAGAATAAATGTTGATGTTCAACAAAATTAGAATTACAGTAAGAACCAATAAAACTGTTTATTTCCATGTGTAGAAATGTCTGGTTACTATGCGCTACCTCAACTCAAAGTGGAAATAATTTTTGCACACATCTAAATATAAATGATAGTCAAATTTTGTGTTACAATTTTATTTGAATAATTACACATTTGGAAAAACCAGCAGGTTGGATCCAGAGTAAGCCACCGTAGTTTATGTGTGTGTGTGTGTTTGTATTGGTTGGATGCATTTGTGTTTTTCCATCAGGAACAATGATTTTGCTTGTGTTGGTGACAGCTTGACCTCTCTCTCCCTCTCTCTCTCTCTCTCTCTCTCTTTCTCTCTCTCTCACACACACACACACAGAAACACACACACACAGCGGATGGTTCCTGAATGGGGTTGGAGGTTAGCAGCCGGTTACACGTGACAAGTCATGGTTAATTCCAGCAACACAAAGGATGCTCTGGGCGCCAGCAAACACACTCTCCAACACTCTCACACACACCACATCATCCCATCATTGAACCGGCCCAGTGACTGAAGTGAAGATAATTTAAAAAAAAGAAAAATGATAAAGTTCCCTCCAAAAAAACAGTTTGGACGCAGTTTGGAAGTGTGTTCACATGATCTGGTTGTTGGAAACCCTGTTACTACTCTGCACTACACTTGATTTATTAAATATGATATAAACCAAATAGATTTCTCTCATCGGGTGAAAGATTCAGTTCACACAGACAAAGCAACACTGGTCAACTTGACTTGTTTTCTGCTGGAAGAATGCATCATCTATATGCTTGCTGGTTTCTGTTGGGTTTTACACTGTTCAGTGGCATTAAAGGAAAACTCAGCATTAGCTGTACACTAAAATAAAAACCAGAACTGAAAAACAATTCGATAAGATGTTTTTAGATATTTTGACCTGTGTTGGACAGTCAGGAGTAAAACAGCTGGCAGCAGGAGGAAACATGGGGTGATGCAGGGACATGATATGCAGCACAGCAACCTGGCTGGAATCTAAGACTGGATGTTTATATGACACAGACTACAAGTGTTCAGCTGTTTATGGACTCCTCATTAGTTGTTTTACACAGATTAAGCTGTCTGTTAATCACAGGGTTGGTGGTTCAATTCCCTGTTTGTCCAGTCAACATGTCCAAATGTCCTCCATTAACCCCAATATGCTCCAACGTCAGGCCAGGACCTGGTCGCTCACTGAATGATTCAATCAGAGGCAACAGATAAAAACGCTTCATTACCTCTAAGTAGAGAAATACTGCAGTCGCTTAATCTAAAACATTAAACAGATCTGCTGCACTAATGGTGGAATACTATTGTTGGTTAGTTAGGCTATGCGAAGAAGGTCAGCTGTTTCATCAATAAAGATCATTTTAACAACTTTTCAGACACCGTTGTCGAAATTGTTGGAGAAATGGATGTGACATCACCCACTGGTTTGTAGACTGTCATTTTGAATTTGGTTGTTGCCATCTGCACGTCCACATGGCAGCAACCTGGCAAACATACTTGACTTTATCATCTATTCGGCATTAAACGGAACCATAGTTTTAAAAAAAAGAATAATATTCTGTGTTCAAAAGTTGTGAAATGAGTAAATGAACCCATTAGCTAATTTGTAAAATGTTTATTTAGGTAACAGACCAAGTGAGAAGTTGAATCATTTTCTCATAGACTTCTACACAAAGTTGCTCTCAGAGGACTCCCCTCCTGCTGGCTGATAGAAATAATGCAGGTTTAAGTGAATTCCACATGGGCTTCATTTTTCAGATGCAGAGGCTATGTCCAACTTTTATAGTTAGTCTATGGGTGAGAATAGAAGTTAAGCCTTCCTGTCTAAACTGACTGATTCATGTGTTTTCAGATGGGACTGAACTGGTTTTCTGGTGTTACAAACTATTTGCTCAGTACATGCACCTGAATTGCTCCCACTTCATTGGTTGTCAGGCTTCCACATCTGTAGAGACTATAAACATGCAGTAGAGACACAAGTCTGCTCTGATTAGTCCTACTGTGTAGATGCATACTGAAGACTAGCAGTGTATGTATTTGTCCAGTCAGAGTCACACACAATTAATTACTTGTTTTAATATTAATATTATTATATTTATTTTTGCAAGAACTTACCATAGAAATTACACGAAATTAATAAATTGTGAATGAATGCCTATGACAAGCAATTGTAATATTTATGCTGAGTTAATAATGTATTTTTTTTGTTCTCGTATATAACTGTTAATGTTGAGATATTGCTCCAGACACTGTATACTTTGGGGTGTTTCTTTACACAGTGAAAGTTAATAGGATCCAATAAATAATAAGTAAATAATTACAATCAATCAAAAGCAAACAATGAGTGTCATTTTGTTGTATTACATCCTGTAATAGAAAGGAGAAACGAGTTTATGTTTCATTAGTCGGCTGCCGACACCAACACCATTGTGTCTAAGCGTGTGAGTGAGTGCTCTTCAGTTTATCATGATTACTGATTAATCTGTCATCCATCACTATCAACTCACCTCCGCCCCACAAACAGAGACATCAGTGATGGATTATCCTGATTTGCATCAACAGACAACACCTAATCAATAAGGTCAAACACACTGATGTGGCTCTAGAGCGTGGACAAACAAATGTGTCTGTGTGTAGACGGGAGGAGGCAAAAGCTGGGCGGGGGCTGTTTGGTCTGATGTAACAGAGTCAGTTTCATCACCCGAGGCATCGAGGATGAGGAGGAGGAAGGCAAGAAGGGGCAGAAGGGAAAGGAAGCGACATTAGGAGTCTAAAATGACTCTCTCTCTCTCACACACACACACACACACACATATATATACACACAGAAACACACAGAGACAGTGGGTGTCAGCTTCCATCAGCAGCCTGTACCACTGTGAGTTATGACCACAGCTATGCGATCATTTACACTCACTGCTGCAGATAGCCAGAGGCTACTGTTCTGTGTTTGTGTGTGCAGATTTCACAGCACTGGCCTTAAGTATTCTTAAAGTTTTACAAATAGAGAGGGACAAATACTTCAGGAGGCTTTGACTTCATGCATGTGCCTGATATTTACTGGTTAGTACAGTAGCAGAGAAGTATTCTGTTTTAAACATGAATGAAAATATCAGAAACAACTTCCATAAAGACTCAAGAAAAACTACAACAGCCACTACATAATGTCTGGAGTTTCTTTAAAAGTAATTTATGTTTAAATGTTTGTTCACATTTAATGTAAATTCTTCAAATATGGTAAAAGACTAACATAACAATGAATCCAAAATGTCATCTCCTCATGACCGATAATACACTTGCTAGCTTGATGATGATGCTTTTAATTTTTTTTTTTTCCAATTATTGTTTTCGAAAACAAATTTGGCAAGTGTAGACGAAGGGAAGACCATTATTAGAAGATGTAGATGTGTAATGTTTGACAGATTGTGTGGTCGTGGGTGAAAGATTCTCAAAAAGACAGTTCTTTGAGCAAATAACACCAAATTGCTCAAAATATAATATTAGAGTTTCATTTTTAGACCTGTTTTATTCCACAATGAACCCCAAAGAAAGTATAGATTTAAAAAAAAAACTTTAAAAGATATAAGAAAATAAGAGAATACAGATCACACAGAGACAAGAGAAAGGTTATTATTTACAGTGTCAGAATTCAAGGGTGAGACTTTAGGTACAGTTGAAGTGACAGAATGTAATGTAAAAGTGAACAGACCCAAATACTGAAAATACAGCACAGGAAATCTGGAAGGCAACGTTCAAAAACAACACATTTTCATCTGCATCATTTCAAGGTATTTCTCTGTCTGAATTTTCCCCCCCAAACCTCAGAGAGCTGTCCAGCTGGAGCCTTCCTTTCACTTCACTGCAGGTCATTCCAGTTCAGATCGGTTCAGCTTGATTCAGTTTAATTCAGTTTTCTTCACCTGGAAATGGCTCACACTCCTGACAGCAGACTCCCATTTACCGTTGTGTGTCTGTGTGCATGTGTGCGTGTGCATGCGTGTGTGTGTGTGTGTGCGCACGCAAAGTGTCAGCATCTTCTGCATCCCATGAGCTTGGTTGATGTTACACCATCAGCTTCACCTGCAGGGAGAAACAGGGTTAGTGTGTGTTGTTCAGAGAGACACAGGAACAGATTCAAGGTCATGTTAAAGTAACAACTCCTACATGGTGTAGTCAGACTGGTGGCATATGAAAACCTCACATCTCCAGGAAGCCTGATTTTGAGGAATTATTAGGAAAAGGTTGTGTTTATTTAAAAAATTTCCACTTGAAAAGCACAATTTGTTTTTTGTTTTTTAAAAAAAGAAAAATCTCAAACATATTTACGAACTGCTCGGGAACATAATAAATTCTTAATTCAATCAATGACAGGAAAAAAATGCTGTTATACATTGGTGGAGGTGCAGCATAGGGATGAGGTGTCTTAGTCAAGTCAAACCAATGTTCTCACACACACAGACACACACACACACACACACACACAAAATTCAATCATGTCTGTGCTCCTGCCTGGGGGAACACACTGTGGAAACCTCACTATAGTGGAAAATCACCTTTTCCATGTTATTTTCCACAGCAGCACCAACAGTACACACACACAGACAGACACACACACACAGAGTGTAGCTGCGTTTACACGAGGAACCATAAGATCAGATTTTTTTTTTAATTCTTTGTGGTGCAGATCTCACACCGTCATGCCTGTCTGTGCCAGAAGAGTCAGCGAGGAATGTGATTTTTATACAACCATGAAAAAAAATCTGTGCCTCAAAGAGTTAATGTGATCTTGTGACAATAGAGGGTTTGGTGCTGTAAGCACGCTTAGTGACGTTTGTATCCATGATACCTGACCTGACTGCAAACAGTGGCCTTCACCAAACTGTGGATCACAATATCAGCTCAATGCATTATACAGATATACTCATACCTAAACACTCATCTGGCAATGGGCCTAATCAGGAAGAATACAGAACAAGTGAGGCTTTATGATATACAATTACTCAAACAGTGATTTAAAATGCTAGTACATTATACCGTATATACATAGATGATTAAGTATTGATCTCTGCTATGTTATGTCAGGTCATAGGCCCCGCAGACACGTTTTCTTTGTTCCATTGATGCTCACAGTTTGTGCAACCAAGGAATTTTTATAATTACCATATAAAACAAGAAGATTGGTGGCCATTATATAGGGAAGAAAAACTAATCATAATATGGTAATACTGAAAAGAACCTATTGATGAGATAAAGATAAGTCTTGTGATATTCTGTTTTCCCTATTGTCAAAAAATCCCACGTGTAAATGCAAATTAGTGATTAATATGTGCAGCCAAAGCTTGATGTCATTTATTCCTGTGTGTCACAGAGCTCTACTACTGTCCAAAAACTATTGAACTACTAAATCTTAGCATCAAATTTAGTTTTAAAAAAAACAACAACATAGATGATGTGGTGTAATTTGATTTAGTTTCCCATTTACTGCCCTTAACACACACACTTAATGTGTGTTCTATCTTAATGTGTGTTAATCTATAACTCCTGTTTGGGTTCTGTGAGGTTCAGTTCAGTTTTCAATTCACTTTATGTGTCCATTGTCTTCATATCTTGAAGTGCTTCAATAAAAATCTATGAACAAAACTCATCAGAGTCCAGATCAGTGACAACAACTCTCCTTTCAGTCCTGTTTATATGTGTCCTAAACATTTATTTAGGTTTTGTTTTTTTGTTTTTTTTTTGGCGGTTTTAGTTGGACAAAATGGGCTTGGGACCAAATATTGTTCGTTTTGGTCACATCATTGGATTTTTTTTTTTGACAATAATAGAAATATAAACTACTGTCATGCATTAACCCTTTAAACACTATGAAGGGGACGGTTAAATGTGGGGAAATGCTGATGACAGTTAACCTGCCTTTTAATTTTGAGAGTTAAATGTAAGTTCAGGCACAAAAAATTTAAATGTCAGGACCAAATCTCAATCTAAATAGGTATCAAGCAGGAGAAAAAGTTACACGCTACAAAATACGCAACAGGTTTCTGAATCACACAAACTGTATCTAAGTACTGCTGTGTTTACTGCACTGACTACCCTGCTGGACAAATGTCTTGTAAAACTAGAACTGGCTGGGCTGAGGACATGAGAACCAACGGTGTGAGTGGATCTCTGGTGTTCTGCTAATGTTACACACATTATAGAGTTCTGTGTTGTAATTCAGTGTGTCAGAGAGGAGAGAAATAATGCGCCGAGCATCTCGTCAAATCGCTCCGGCTTAAACGGCCTCTCTCCGGAGTGTGTTTAGGAAATTAAAGGCCAGGGATTTTTTTCATAATTGTCTAGTTTATCATTTTATTACAGCTAGCTTTCCTCTGATGGGCTCCCTTTATGATTTATCAAATACAATTACTGCGTGACTTATTTCAGGAGCCTCTCCATTGCTGAGGACCATTAATGTGTGTGTGTGTGTGTGTGTGTGTGTGTGTGTGTGTGTGTGTGTCTCAGCTCTGGTGTATTTAAATAGCATTAAGTAATTGGAAAAACAGGAAGAGAAGCTGGAAAGGCTAAATTGTCTTTATGGATTTATACCTCCATCCCCCCACTTTTGTCAGTCTTGCCCTCTTTCTCTTTCTCTCTGTTGCTTCCTGGTAAATATTCAAAAAGCTTGTACTTTAAAGGTAAAAGAAAAGAAAATCAGGTTTTAACTGATACACAGAAACTAATTTGATTTTTTTTCTGCTGCTACATATCTCTCTTAGAAAAAGGAAAGAAACAGAGAGAGAGAGAAAGAGAGAGAGAGAGAAAAAGGTTAATTCCATACCTTCGTCTTGCAGCTAATGAAGTGTAGGTGGCGTCCCGGTCAGTGCAGCTAATTGAACAGTGGAGATTACAGCAGACACGACTCCTGTGTGAAAAGAGGGCCATGTTCATTAGTCGTTGCCATATAATATTCATTCTCTGCAGAAATATGTAGATAGTAATCTATGCAAAGAGCTGCTGGGATGATTTTAAAGCTCCCACCATGTTCTGTGGTAGCAGTAACTCAAACAAGCCTCATTTGAAATGTACTCATCTTGGGCTTTTTGGCTTCAAATAGTAACTTTTGTTTTTTTATCTGTTGTTATTTAGGTCACATTATTGAATTTCATATTTAAACACAAACATATACTGTATTACCACTTTAAACCTGATGAATGATGCAGGATCCACGTGTGGACGGAGCTTTAGGTCAAGTTTTGATCACACCTCTTTCATACCCAAGAAACCATGATGTCATCATTGTATGATTTGCGTTTATTTACATCAAGATTATTGCTACATATCTGTTTTAGATAATATTTTGATACGCCTTCAGTGGCAGAGCAATGGCACCTGTATAGTCAATGATAACTGTTTTGCAAATTCATTGCTTGTGCAGAAAAGGATTTTTGCTGGTTTTTGTTGTTGTTGTTTTTGCTGCACATTGTGCAACATCAGCTTTCGAGGCATGTCAATGAAACGTCTCAATAGCAGCTTTAGACTCCATGTAATCAAATTTGTGAAAGCAGACACACATAACTGAGATGTATCATCAATCTAATGAACAAGTTGTGGTCCAGCACTGGCATTTACATCTGTTAAAGATCATTAAAAAAAACGAGGAGGAGACTGTGAAGCTGACCAGGGAAAAGAAGGTGCTGCTTCTAAATAAATGTTTGTTCTGGGTGTAGCAGTGTACAGGCTCATCGATGCATTCTGCATGAATTTGTGTTATAGAGTGAATGCTTGGTGTGTAATCTCAGGTTGCAGCAGCAGTCCTGCTGTGAGAATTTTGTGCAAAATGTTGTCATGATTATGAAGTAGTTTGTTAGTCACCAAAGCTGGAAATCAGCCATCAATGGACTCGTCTCACCTTATAAATAAGATAGCATATCTCAACCTTTTTTGTTATCTTCTTCTTCAGAAACCAAAAAAGGTCACTCCCCTCCCATTACACACAAACCGATTATTTGTTTATTAGTCAAGTCAAGTCAACTTTATTTATATAGCACATTCAAAAACAACCAAGGTTGACTGAAGTGCTATTAGTCATTACCGTGATGAGAGATCAATGTTTATACTGTCACAGGCATTTTTCAACAGAAATTATTGTCGTTTTTGTTTTGTTTCATGTTCTGTGCATGAGCAAACTGACTGACAAATGATTGCTAAACTGAATTTGTGTGCTGAGCAAGATTAGGTCATTAAAAGAAGCAACAGTAACTCTTGTGTAACTATGGTTTTTAGGTAATACCTGGGGCATTTCATGCTATTTTTAGAATTTATATCTTTATATTGTATTGCATTCCCTGCTACCCTCATTATTAATTGATTTATTAAGATTTTGCAGTGAAGTGCAGTCATGTAATCACTGCTGGGATCAACCTGCCTTCAACCTGTCCTACCAGAGCCTGGCAGACCCAGGAGAAGGAGGAGGCTGATGCGGGCCCACTTCTCCATGTATCCGCACTCATCTGCCTTAACTGCATCGTCCCTCTATTGGTTAGCAAATCTTCTAGTTTAGTTTCAGTATATACAGAATACTTGTTAAACATCTGAGGAGGTGAAAAGCTGTCTGGGTGGGATGCTGACCCGTCCATCTGGTTTCCTGATGCCGCAGTCGCTGCAAATAGCACCGAGGAGAAACGCAGCACGTCTTTATCAGGACAAAAACAAAACTCCTCTCTGCTTCTGTCACTTCTGTAACCCCACCGAACCTCCTCCCCCACCTCCTCCCCCTCCCGCCTTCAGTTGCCTGTCCCTCTCAGTGGGACCCTCTCTCTCTCTCTCTCTCCCCTCGTCTCCCTGTGTCTCTCTACCTCTCTCGCCCCCTCCCTCAGGGCAGAAGTAAACCACGCCTTGAGGCCCTGCTCCCATTGTGTGTCCTCTGCTACTTCTGTTTGGGGCCTTTGTGTGCCGCTAATCAGCCGTGGGGCCATGCTCAGCCCCGAGTGTGTGTCTGCGAGTGTGCGTGTGTGTGTGTCTGTGTCCCTTGCCCTCATTACGTAGCCACACTGGGAGGCCAGCATGGGAAGTTTCTGCTGCACTATACACCTCCCTCCATCCCTCCATCCTTCCCCCCCCTTGCTTCTCCCTTTTCCCTCCCTCTAGCTGTCCATCACTCACTTCCTCCCCCCTCTCATCTCATCACCCCAAGACTTAAAGCTACACTGGCCAGAGCTCTGAAGTAAATCTACACCTGTTTCACCCCAAAGTGATGCTGCAGTGGAGAACAAAAATCCCGTTGGCTCGGTTATAAAGTTCTCATGGTCGCAGATGCTCACTGAAATCATCATCATCATTATCATTCTGGTGTCAGAATGGTGTAATTTTCTCACAGGAACTGACTGTCAATTCAGAAAGTTTTCTGAATAGAGTTCAGTGAGAACAAAGCAGGACTCTCTAACACACACTAACAAGGCCACGACCTTACAGGATTTCTGAGTGTTGAAATTCGCAGAAGTAAAAGCTTCCTCTCACTGTCTTTTCAGGAAGGCCCATGTTTACCAGGTTAACACAGATTCTCAGCTGATATTTACACTATTGTTTCATTTCGTTGTTATTATCCACCATGTTATTTAGGTCACATTATTGAATTTCATATTTAAACACAAACATATACTGTATTACCACTTTAAACCTGATGAATGATGCAGGATCCGTGTGTGGACGGAGCTTTAGGTCAAGTTTTGATCACACCTCTTTCATACCCAAGAAACCATGATGTCATCATTGTATGATTTGCGTTTATTTACATCAAGATTATTGCTACATATCTGTTTTAGATAATATTTTGATACGCCTTCAGTGTTGTTGCTGTTCTGAGGTTAACTAGAAATAGTAGTTGTCATTAAATACCATAGTGAAAATTGAATGATTATGACTGTACCAACAAAAAAAAAAATTAAGATTTCAAAGTTGTATTATGTACACTATATATTGCATTTACTGTCAAAGTTCCACACCATGAAGGAGACTTTAGTTCATAAATTCTATACATAAATATATATACACGTTACATTTCATAAAGTGAATAAAATTCCAACTAAATGGATTTTAACTGCCGATGAAAGCACCAAACATGACTGAAAACTCTGGAAATGAAAAAAAATGTCTTAACTTTTAAAGTTTTTTAAAGTTAAAAATTATTGTTCAAACTCTGCTAAACTTTACATTTTAATGAGTTAACTAGTTATGAGCAGAGTTTAATGTAAAACCAATGAATAACAGTGGTGAAATTTCCCTGCTGCCACAGATGCACACAACTTTATTTCTCATATTTATTTATGACTATCATTTCCGTATTTTTTCATAGCTTTGTATTGTGTTTTGTTTTTAACCTCAAGTCTTTCTGTGGTGGTTGCAATAAAAATGTCCTCTTCAAGACAATAAAGTTATATTTAAGACAAAAATGTTCTCCTCTTTATTCTGGGTTTAGCAAGACAACAATATTATATCACACAGCATACTGTTTGTTTGGCAGGTGATCTTTCCAACAATTCAAGAGTAACAAAGGCGTTGTGCTATAATGGAAAGTGAAGAAAAACTGACGGATTACCTCTTTAATAATTGAATCAATTTCACCGTTACTTAAATACATGAATAAGCTGGACTAAGTGAACTGTCCGGCGCTCTTTATAGCTCCCCTCAGTCACCTGCTGGGTGCCCCTTTACCCTTATTTTTCTCTCCTACTCCTCCTCCGCTTCACCTCCTCCTCATCTGTCCATCCCTTCTTTTCACTCTCTCTCCCACCAGTGTCCTCCTCCTCACAGCCATGATGTATCACCTGTCCGTGTGTGTCTCCGTGTTTTTGTGAGTTTTTGTGTATATGTGTCTATCTGTCTTGATGCCCGATGAAGTTTAAGCCACTGGAGCTCTTTGACTTGAGGACAAGCGTAGTCTATTCATCGCTCATCTGAATGAACACACACACACACACGCACGCACACACACACACACACACACACACGCACACACACACACGCACAGAGCTACATTGCTATCTCACATTTCAGTGTGGGACAGAGAGCATCTCTTTCTCTCCCTCTGTCACTCCTCCCTCTCTTCCTTCAACTCATTTCTTCCTTCACTGACTTATCTCACACTGTTTACTCGTGTCCCGAGTCTTCCTCTTATTTCCAACAACTTGGTTCTAGGTCACCAGCTTTGTCAACTTACTGACCCATATTCATGTTACAGCTCGTAATGAGGCCGTACGCTTGTTTCCATTTCCACTTGTAAAGACAGTCTACAGAGCTTGAGAAACTACTTGAGGGAAAAGATTTCCTGCTTCACTTTCTCTGCTCATGTACTGTCAGTCATGTGTCACTCAACAGGTCCTACAACTTTAGCAAAAGTAGAGGCACTTTGGAATTTTAAAATTAACTGCTAAAATCACTTTTTGTTGGTAGGCTTGGTTAGGTTTTGTGAAAGATCCAAATTTGGGCTCAAATAAGCACTTTGTTAATGTTGGAGGACCTTCATTGTCATGGTTACAACAACAAACATGCTGTTAGGGTTATAAAATGGTCACTTAAAATGGCAAATGTACAGCAGTCACTTGTGTTGAAGTCCAGTGCTTTGTCAACCCTTCTATCCACCTCAACCTCCTTGTTTGTAGCTCTACAACAACACTTGCTCCATTAGCTTTGTAATAAGTACGTCTCCCAGCATTGACGAAATCCATATGAACCAAGCCTCACAGTTACATATTAAGAGTTTTTTTCCCATCCAAATCATCTTTCCTGCCTTAAAATAGCTTACATGTAACACTTCATCATTTCTACTTTACAATGTACAGATCTATTAATTCACCACCTCTTTCTGCCACTCGCTGCAGCTCGAGCACACCAGGACGGTCTCATTACCACACCTATAGAAAATTA